CATTACTTTGCAGCTTGTTATAGAAAATAGAAATAAATGAAAACAAAATCCAAATACACCGTTCAAAAGTAAACATCCCCAGGGGGGACTCGTTTTTAGCGTTCCTAGTTTAATGAAATAAAGGGGGACACTACGTCCGCCTGCGCCCCTTCCCCAATTCAAGCAATGGTTGAGACCGGACAAGGCTATTGGTTGGTTATATATTGACGTACTTGTCGTATGAATTGCACATTTAAAAAGTGCACATGCAAAAAAAATAATATGATGTGTAATACGGCGTATAACTCAGGCCATACTTGCCAAAATATTTAAATATAATACAATTTCTTTACTTTTTTTACACATTAAAATGTATTTATTATTTTATTATATTTCCGGTGTTTTACATATTTATTTAAATTAAATTATACTTTATAATTTTTTAAGAAGGGCCTTGCAGATTTCACGCAATCGGCAGTATTATGTACTTTGAGTTGCCGATTTCACGTATTCGGCGACAACATTGCTGATTTCATGAAATCGGCAATTTCATAAATTCGGCGTAACATATACATTAAAAAATATATTTATATTTGTTATTATAGTTAAATTAAAATATATGCGTTTTTATAATATCTTCTTGGTAAAAACTTAAATGATACAGATTTCACAAACTCAAATCGGGTTATCATATTATAAGAGTACTTATTCATTTGCTATCTTACCATAAATTAAAAGTTAAATTAAGTATTGTTCTACATTCTTTTTTTAATTTTGTGTTTTGAAATTTTACTTATGTCTCTGGCTGTATTTCTAGCATTCGTAAATAGTATTATTAAAAATACTAAGACTTAAATGGTATGATTCACAATAATTTTTTGTACGTACGGTGGTAGCTGTAAATTAAGACCAAATATTTGAGGAGAAAATTGCTTTTGGTGAGATACAAGTAGATAAGTAGGTTAATAGCTGGTTAATAGGTTAATAGACCCAACTTCCTTAGTACCTTTTTTTTACCCAAGATTCTACCACTTTTAAAAAATACACAAATTATCGCAGACCCAAATTACCTAGCTGTTATAACACAAGTATATATTATTCCCAGGAATTATAAAACTTTAGATTCTTCAAACTTTTTCTTAATAAATAATACAAGTTCCTATAATTATTTACAACATTTTATTTTTGATATTTGTCTACTAAATATTTGTATTTATGTTTTAAATCCTAATGAAAAACTAAATCAAAAAATCCATACACTTTAGTGGCAAACGAAATAGATATTTATAGAAGGTGTAGAACAGAATTGTAGTTAAGTATAATTAAAACGCATCTCTTTTTAACGGAAATAAAATATAATTATTACGAGTACTTAACTTTTATCGTAAGTATTCTCTTGAATAAATTATAGAAACAATTTTTAACTGCTTAATTGTATTATTCTATTTAAGTTTTATGACTATGCACATAAGTGTTTAATAATAATATCATCATTATTTTTAATAAAATTGTTTAATTTTTAAATTACTTTTTTTGTTATTAACGTACAAAAATATGTGTAAGATAAATAATATGTAGACTATAGAAACTAATAAATTAGTAGATATGAGTATATTCTCTATAGCTATCTCTGTAATGATTAGTAAAGATTAGTTTTGATAGATTCATACAAATCATATCTGCAAATACTTAAAAATACGTATTGTACATACTTATTGACAAACGAAGTAATACAATTTAAATTTAAAATCATTTTAATTATATATGTCGCCGCAGTGGCAGATTAGAGGTTAGGCTAAAAGGCTTATAGCCTAGGGCGGCTTTTTTGGGAAAGCAGCTTTTTTTCATAAAATTAAAAGTGATTTTAGACTTATTAGGTATATTTATTTTAATATATTTTTTTTTTTATATTTATCATATAAACACAAATAAAAATAATTTTAAAAATTTATAATAATATATTAATTTGTATATTGTATAATGCGTACCTATAAGCTATAGTAAGAATATTACAACTATTATTACAATTTAAAAATATTTCATTTGTAATAAAATAATTACAGTTAGTTAATAGTTATTATTAATAACTTATTAGTACCTATGTACTTATTGGGAACATCCGACTATCCGAGTATAGGTATTTTCATATCTGGCTATTTATATTTCCGTTATGTGACTGTATAAGCATTGTTTATTTGTACTGGTAATAATGGTATCTGAAGTAAAATAATAGACATGAAATATTTTATTTTTAAAAGTTTTCTATTTTAAAGATTAAAATAAAATAATTTCGATTAAAAAACTGAATAAAATTTGAAGAGAAAGATCAAATATTGTTGGTTCCTTAGTAGGGCGATAGGGGGGCAGAGTGATTAAGCCTAGGGGCACCAAAACGCTAGATCCGCCACTGTATCGTCGTTAAATTATCAAACCAGTTATTTTATAATTTAACATAACGTTCTAGTTAAAGTGTTAACATTCATATTTATATAAATACTTTATCTAGAAAATGCATAGAACTAGTTTTTTTATTAATTATTAAAATTATTAATATTATTGATAATATAAATTATTCTAAAAAAATTCTAAAAAATCATCATTATGAATAATCATTACAAAAAAAATATTTTATACAAGATCAGTTTTGAAGCACAAAACACCATTTTTATGACATACACATAGATTAGTGGTGAATTTAGTGATACAAGTGCATTTAAAAAAAACCTTGTTAATTTCCAATTGATTATTGTGTAGGTGCAGATCGTAAAGAAATTTGTTTTTCTTGCGGAACATCGCTTAATAATATAAGGTTTTTGGAATACATAGTGAATTGAGAACGTACATATAACTGTTTTAAAATACTTATAATTTTAAAAATGTAGGTATTATTTAAATGTATAAATTTAAAAAAAATAATAAATCTAATACGTACCATTATTACATCCAAGTTGATAGAATCCATCTTCAGTAATTTTAAGAACCAAAGCTACTACCAATCGAGGGTCTCCCCTCCCTCTATCAACATCAGGAATTTGAACTGTTGAATCTTCTTTTGCTTCTGATAATTTAGCATTTGATAAATTCTTCATTTTTTTCGCTTGTATTTCTAAGTTGTCTCGTGCATTTTGTCGTTCTTCTCTTTGTTTGCGTTTTCTATTTTCGGTTGATGGTAATTCTTGTAATATAGTGTGGGGAAATATACTTGACGTTAGGCCAATTTTAGGGTCAGTTCCAAACATCACATTGTCAGATTGAAAAACAGCGAGCGCACCAAATAAACAAAAAATATCTAATAACACACATGCTTTTCGTTTTGTTCAATTTTGTTTCCAAACTAGTGTTCGGCTCGTTTTGAAGTTAATGGTTGTATAATACAAAATGTTGTTCAATGATTTTGATATACACATATAAATTTAAAATCTCTGTCAGGTTGTGAATGACAATCTATTAAATCAATTTAACAGTGAATATTAAAATTGTTAAGAACCATAGGTTTTACCACAATACCTTTTTTTTTTTGTAATTTTTTTTTTTTTTTACTAACATAGAATACACAAATTTAAATACAACTTCACATCAACTTGGGTAATAATTTTATACTTTTTTTGTAATATGACATGCTTTATCAGATTGATTTGGTTAATGTATGTAATAGCTAGGTATTTCATGAAGTATCACTATTTAATACTTTAATGCTAACATACGTATATAGATAATATTATATATTATATATTTGAGAGAAAAACGAAGGAGAAAAAGAAGAATAATTATATATATATGGCTGCTTACGAACTGAGTCCCAGTATAACCTTTTATGACGAATTGAGTCCCGGGTTGTTTTAGGGTATAAACCAATTGAGTCCAGTGAAATTATAGGTATAATACTAATTGAGTCCATGTTTTAATACTAACTGAGTCCCGTAAAATTAAAAAAAAAAAACATTTTCCTTCCCATTTTTACAGACTTAGGACTGTCTGTAACAAAAAATTCTACAGGTATGGTTAAAAATGTTTTTTTTTTAATATTTTATAAAATAAATATATAATTTTTATTATTATTCATAATTTTCGCTGTGCCTGGACTCTGGATGGTTATTTCATATTTTACTCAAAATAATCCTCGGACTCAATTCATATACAATTAGTTTCCTAACCACGGACTCAATTAGTATATGTCTCATTTGTACCCGGGACTCAATTAGTATATTATTTTTTCCCCGTTCAGGTATAGGGACTCAATTAGTATACAGTGATATATATATATATCAACCGAATATTATCGTTAGATTTTACTAAAATATAAAATTTTCTAAAATATATTTTTGATTATTGAAGGTTATGATAATTTTTGATTTCATATAAGACTGAAAAGAGAAGAACAACTATAAGTCAAAGATTTTAACTTACAATTTGTTATTATTTTCAAATAATTATGCTTAATATAAACTTGATATTATTGTTCAATCCCATAAAATGAGTCACTGGACATACAATAAGAAATTTCGAGTAATGAGTAATCATAATAAAATTCCTAAGTAATCTACAAATCGAAATTCCTGAATGTAATCAGAAATTATTTAATTTAAGAAAATTGTATTATTAAAACTAAATGAACATAATATATTTTAATATTGAATTTAAATGCATGTTCTTATTGGTTACTTAGTATTAAATTATTACAAATTGAAATAGGTAGTAATGTTTATTAAAATGATGAAAAACAGATTAAATGTTTTTGTTATATAAATAGTTATTTAATATTCGATTTTGTTAAGCAACGGTGACTGTTTAAAGGGAATCGGATCAGATCCTTTTTTTTTTGTATGAACTGTAAACGATTAAATATTCTTATCATACCACGATAACGTCTTTAGGTTACCAGGGTTACGATGTTGGATCAAAGGAAAAACGTAACTTTATACGTTTAACGTGCACGTCATTATATAATCGTAACGTAATAAAAATTATATAAATAAATATGAAATAAACAGTTTAATGTGAGATTAAAAAAGAATTATTTTTGCCTTTTATAAAATGTAATAATAATGATAACAACACTTACAATTAATATAATATAATTAATAACTATGGTAAGCAGGACTGGACTTTACGCTAGCATAATAAAAGATAACTTCAAAGATGGAAATCAGGTAAAGAATGATACATAATCAACAATCTAAATTATACATTCATATATTTTCTAAATATTTTTTTGAATTTTGAATTTTTTACAATAGAAACCAACGCTTATTTTTAAATAATAAGGTATTATATTAATATACAAAAATAATGTGTAATAGCAATTAAATTATAATTTCCGTGTATAATTTAATTATTAATTCCCGTGTACCTGTTTATATGTATATTATTAATTATAAAATATATACTGTGCTTTTAGATGTCTATCCTACTATGAATGTAATTTTTTTTTTAAATAATATAAAATTTAAATTTAAATGGATTAAAATATAAAGTGTTGATTAATTTAGTTACTAATTTGTTAAATCATTATATCTTTTATCGCTCCAATCGTTTAATATAAATTTAAACGATTTATACGATAACCAACACAAAATGTATCTTATGATTAATTTATTCAGCAATTGTATTCAGTTCGTTATTCCATTATTTTTAAACTAATTAAATATTTAACTCGTGTTTATTAAATTAATCTTACGATCATTATTCATTAACTAACCATCAAATAATTTACTTTAGGAGATGTATTGGAAATAATCAAAAAATGATTGTTTTGAATTAAACTACAATTTTGATATTTATTAAAATCTTTCGTCGTCTGAAGTTGATTATTAATCCATATTTCATAATATAATAATTATAAAAACTAATAAAATAATCATGAAATCATCTTAAACTAAAATTATTCAAAACAATAATATTATTAGAATACAAAATATATTATAATATATACATCTCTATTAATTTTGGATTAAAAAAACACTTCAATGTTTTCATATTTAGATACGTTTTGTATATACTATACATCTACCTTACTATCTGATATAAAAATCAATACCTATCATAATTGTGTTTTCTGTAAACTATTCATTACTGTATTTAAATTATCTATACAAAACGCCGACTTCTTATATTTTTGTTATTCTATATTATTACGTACTGTGGTGTATTGAATAACTTCGAACGAACAGTCCAATTAATACAATACAAATTTTCCTTGAATTTGAAAATGTAATTGAACCTTTGAGATTTATTTGTATAACACACAATCAAAACTAACATATTTAGCTTCAACATATTATATTTTATCAGTACGATATAGTTATCAATAAAATTAATATCAGTGATCATTGCATTAATTGAAATACAAAATTAATTGAATACAAAAAATAATACAAATTTTTTTTAAGAAAATACTACAATTTGTAAATAATTTGTGTTTTTTTCTGTTTCTAAAACACATTAAATCAACTGAATTTAGAAAGATGATTCTATTGATATTACTGGAATATCGTGCAATCAAGCACCAATTGTACTCAAACCTTTGGCCTCGTTGTACAATCCGTATCCATATGGATGTTCAGTGTTGTGCAATCATCCCTTGGATAGCGAAATTAAAGATCTCGTCAAAAAAGCTAAAGATGCTTTGGTGGGTATAAATACATTTTAAACCATAATATTTATAGATACTTTTTTACACATTTTTATTGCTTATTTTTTTGTATTTAGGTGATGGACCCAAGATCCCCACATCGGTATCCTGACGTGGATGAAATCAATATTATCGTGCCAGAAGAATTATTTAGGAAGTATACGGAAACAGATTCTAGAGCAACCAGTCCTATGCCCATAATCGCACAAAAAAAACCACTAATTGAAGAAAATACAGACAAATCTCGACTTGTATTAGATTTGAATCGAAGTAGAAGTCAACAGTCATCGATTAAATTTTCGGTTAGCTCAATACGCAATAACATATTATATAAAAATAGTATTTACCTGCAGCGGTGAAGAAAGAAAAAATAAAACGCATATTTAACTGAGTACTTTACATTACTTACCCTACCTTATTAATATTTTATTATAATAAACAAAGTGGAAATAGTAGAACAAATCACAATATATTTATATTTGTCATTAAAATAATTTAGGGTATTGTGGGCCAAGATTTTTGCGATACGTTATCATTATGTCATGGGTCGGTACTTCATGTACCGGAATTTTCTCGTCCAAATTACAGAACTAGTATTTCAAGACGAAAAATGGAAACCAAAAAAGAAACATTCAAAAAACGTTCTAGGCATAAAATTAACATTACAGAAAAACAAGCTGATAATATCGCTGATAATTTGGTAAGCTATAATAATAAAAATAATAATTATACTATATGATATTCATTAACAATAATAAATATGATCTCCAAAGTTAAAAGCATACCATATCATACTTTTGTAGCGTCATTTATACTTACCTGGGTCTTATGAAATACAAAAAGATAACGAAGGGTCTAAAGAAGTTACTTGGAGAAGAGGAAAACCTATAAAACCAGGGAAAAAAAGCAAAAAAAAATCGGAAAAAAAGAAATCAGCACATCAGAATAAAGAATTTAAAGGCCCTCAAGAACCATTAGAAACTCAAGTTATTATTTTTTAACAAAATACTTGTTGTGAAGTTTTATATTTTATAAATTCAATAGGTTTCTACAATGAATCCAAACTCATTGAGTGGTAGCATGGTAGGAGAAAATTATCTGCAAGATATTGAAGAACCTACTAATAAAGAACCAATAGCGAAGTCATTTATAGAATTAGATATTTTAAAAGAACTTCAGAGGGAATTGCACTTCCTTGACGTTGAAAATGAATTTGATTTCAAGGTTAAATTATTTGTAATTTATAAAAAACTTAAGCTAATTATAAGTTATTATAATATTTCAATCAAACAAATACTATTTTAAATATATATTTTCGCAAGTTTTTGATACCTATTAAAAAATAATTAAATTTACTTACTTAACTATTTAATACTAAACAATGAATATGAAAAAAAATACCCGTATAAACTTACTGTAAAATTACTCTTGCATTACTATGAATTAGAGTAAATATTACCTACCAGATATTTAATAATCAAGTAATGAATTAATTTAAAAAAAACAACTAATACTTGACTTGAATTTATTAGATTTATGACTTTTGTGTTTATAACATTATAAATAAATATTATACATATGTAATGTTTTCGTTGTTTGAATACGTAATACAAATTGTAATCTATGAGTAGTTAATTATTACATCTATTTAACTAACATTTTTTAAATAACTAATTTAATGGATATTATTAAAATATTATATATATAAAATGTAATTAAAGATAACATTATATTATCATTATATTAGAGTAAATAAAATCTAAAAGTAATAATATGGATATTTTTCAAAATAGAAACACATGGCATTACAAGAAGCATATAAAATGAAACCAATATTAATGAATCATGAAGTAAACAATGAATTGGAAGCTCTTAAGTGTAAATTAGGAGTAGCTACAGAAATAATTTTACCAGGTTTGCCAAGAACATTTTCCAGAAAGAATATAAGATTTGAATTACCGTTAGACAAAAAAAGTTTAAAAGGTGAACAATTTTTTAAATATGTATATATATATACAAATATAATAATTTATTTGATCTTGTTCATTTCAGATATGACACCATTACAATATTTGAGTAGTAATATAAGTATCATCGGTAGCTGTCAAATTATATACTCAAGAGTTTTCGAAAAATATGTAGATTCGGAGACGAGAAAAATTCCAGAAAATGTAAATTGTCATCGAAACATAATAAACTTACTAATGGTTTAATCAATGAAATACTTTATAGAAGCTCCTAATTGGATTAGGTGAAGTGATGGGTAGACCATTTTCGAGCCAAGAAGCTATAGACTTTCAACTTTTGATTGGATGGTCAAGTAATCAATATTTAACATTCCGAGAATGGTGTGGTTTATGTGGTGCTGCAGAGCGACTCATGGGTATATGTATTTTTTCTATAATATTTACAATTATTTATAACTTAACTTTCCCTCTAATTATCATAAAATTAGTCACCCTACTTAAATATAGAACCAGCACTGTAACCGTAATTAAATTATTAAACGCTAATCTAAATAATTAACGATAACTAAGATTCAAAACGAATTATATATGATACTTAAATTAGCTTGAATTATGTAGTTAATAAAAATAACGATTAAAAATAATTTGACAGGACATCGTTTTGTTCCACAACCGTTGAGTAAAGTCCAAGATCCTTGTAACGAAGTAGAAAACGCAGATTTTACATTATTAGATAGGTGGCTGCAAGATTTGTCACCAAATAATTTGCTATATAAATTATTGACTCTCATAAAAAACATATGAGTGTTTTAATTTTGTTTTTTTTTTTTTTTTAACGAGGAAATATTTTCAATAATTATCAGGGTAAAGCATTGTCAATTGTATTTATATTTTATGTTAAAAATTAAAATCTATAATGGGTAATGACAATTAACGTTTACTTACGTTTATGTTCTTTAAGAAGTATTCTTTTAGGCATTTGTTATAATACTTGTAAATGTATTGTAAATCATTAATCTTTGCAGTCCTGATTTCTAAAGAATTTTATAAAATTATTGTTGAAATTTATTTTATCGTTTATAATATTTTACACGTAAAACTAATATAGAATGCATCACGCGTATTAATAATTTTACAGATTAAAAGGATCCAAATATAAGTATATTTTTATCCAATGATCAAATAATTAATATAATATATATATTATAACATATTTATATGTATATATATCAATAAATATATGATTAACGCATTATAGATATTAATTTATTAAAAATGTAGAAAATAATTTTGAATTTTATTTGTCTGCAATTACAATAATAATTTATTTTATGCTTTTATTAATTGCACCATCAATTATACTTAAACAAACACTTGACATAATAATATTTTTTATTAATTAATTAAATTTTATATTTATATTTTTATTTTATTCTTTACTTTAGTAAGAGTATGAAAAAAAATATAAAAATAACAAAAGTGGAAATTAGGTGAATGTATTTAATTCCGGTATTTTCAATGCTCTAACATAGTTTGTTAAATTAAATTTGAATTATTACAAAGAATATCTGATTTTATATACAGTAGAACCTCGATTATCCGAACTAATTGGGACGCACCTAGTTCGGATATTGGAAATATAAAATACAATTTTTTATAATATGATGTATTAATTATTTATTATTTTTATAATTAAATATTTATTATTATTAATATTTCATTAGAATTACATACATTACATTATCAGAAATACATTACATTATTAAAAATACATTACATTTATATATTTTATTTATTATATTTTTTTGACAAAATTATCAATTTTAATTTGACGATAAGCTGCAACACGCTTTTCTGCAGCTAAATCTTGCAAACGTTTAAGTAGAAGTAATTGTGTTGTACAACATTCGGCCTGTTTTTCAAACCACTCAAGACCAGTTTCAAAAGCAGCAAATGCTTCAGCAGATGTTGGTCCTTTTGGTGTACCCATACTTTCATCACTAATGTCGTCACTTTCTTCATTTTGCATCGAAGGAATGATTTCATCGCTATCTAATATTTGATATCCTAGATCATTTACATCAGTTGTTAACCAATCAACAGCGTCATCATAAATACAGTTATTAAATCCTGGAATTACATTAAATAAATCAACAAAATCATCAAGATTATTTAGATCAGTTTCTTCTTCGGCTTCTAACTCCATAGAAGCAACCCACAACTTTTTCCAAGCATTTTGTAAATTTTCCTCAGTCAAATTATCCCAGGCATTTGCTGCCATGTAACAGCAGTGTTTCAAATTTAATCATTTTGAAAATGCAACAATATTATCTTCAGTGCCTTCATTTAATAAAAGTCTCTTCAACATTTGTTTTCAGTACATTCTTTTGAATTTTTCGATTACTCCCTGATTCATGGACGAATCAAAGACGTTACGTTTGGTGGAAAAAACATGACTTGATAATCTGGATCAATTAAATTTAATACTTCGGCGGATAGGTAAGTGGGTGCAATGTTTAGTGAGAGTAACACTTTACCTGTCTTGTGATGATCCTGACGCCATTTTTTTACATTTTATATGAAATCATTTTCAAACCAATTAAGAAATAATTTAGAGTCAATCCAGACATTTTTTTGAGCTGTATACGTTACCGGTAAACTTTTTATGTTCTTGAAACACCGTGGTTTCTTTGATTTTCCTATGAGTAGTAATGGCAATTTATGGGTCCCAGCAGCATCATTACATGTCATAATTGTTATTCTTTCTTTGGATACCTTAAAGCCACGCGCTGTATGTTCTTGGCAAGAAACAAGTGATTTTCTTGGTAGTGCTTTCCAGAATAATCCACTTTCATCGGCATTGTAAACGGAATCTTGAGAATATCCTTCTTTTTCCACAAATAATTGAAATGTTTGCTTAAAATTTTCAGCGCTACTAGAATCGGCTGATAATAATTCACCTTGAATATGTAACTCACGTATTCCATGTCGAGATTTGAATTTATGAAGCCAGCCACTACTGGTCTTACAATCTTCAGGGCCATTAAGTTTTGTATTCATCTTGAGAGCTTTTTCACATATGAGTGGTCCAGAAATTAGTTCATTTAAGCTTCGTTTTTGTATAAACCACATTTCCATTGCTTTGTCAAGATCATGATATTTTACGACTTTCATAACTTTCCTTCTTTTTATTCCATCATCACTATCCATTTTTGACGCAAAATCTATGATTGCATGACGGTTGTTTTTAATATCTGTAACTGTTGCTTTACCTATATTATAAAGACGGGCTAAAGATACGCTAGTCTCATCTTTGTCCAGTTTAGCAAGAATTTCTATTTTTTTTTTCCATCGTAAGAACATGACATTTACGTTTATAAGACATTTCACATAAGTACTTGACGATCGTAATATATTTGTACGTATGTATAACAATGTGTGTGCGGTAGAGAGTCAAACTAAACTGACAAGTTAAACACGACGTTTAGATAAGTCCGTTGCGTTTTAGTCATATACTAATGATTAATGATAATTTGATAAATTCGATAAACCGGCTGGCCGACCGGCCGGATACGAATTTTCATGTTCGGATACGCTAATTATAGTTCAGATAATAGAGGGTTCGTATAAAGGAAGTTCGAATAATCGAGGCTCTACTGTAAATTTAAGCAGAAAAAATTAGAAATGTAAAGATTATCAAGACTCCTTACTCAATGCTGGAATAAAACATAATTGGATTATTGAAAAAAATTTGAAAATAAAAATGCCAAATATCCAATTATTTGATTATTTTTAAAAATTCGACCAAGTCGATCTATCTTGAGAACTACGTCATCTCAATAAAATAGAAAATAATTTAACTTCGGATACCATATAAACTATGAAATTAAAAGCTGGCTAATATTTATAAAAGATATTTATTTAGAAGAAACATTTGTATTTATATCATAATCAAAAGTTCTTGAACAACTGTCACTTAATAAACATATTTAAAAGGTATTATTTATTGTTTTAAATAAATTTATGTAAATAATATTAGTATTTTTATGTTATATGTTTGAAAATGTTAATCTTTGTAAGGTGTTATGGACAATTAACATAACGATATTTTAATCATTATAACAAACATGGCCCACAGAATGTAATACCTTTAATAACTACACATAATATTGTACACCATTTTTTTTTTCAAAACAATAAAATTGTAGAAAAAATATCCTCAGTACTGCGTGAAGCATAATAATTAAGTATAAAATGGTTGCAGAACTTTAACTCACCACAGTATTTTATAAATGAAAGGCTTCAGCTTCTCATATAATCTATATAATCTTAGTATTTAGTGTCTTATATTTTAATAGTATGAATTATTAATAGTTGTAACTGGTATGATTATAATTAAGTGTTAAAAAGACTGTAATATTTCAATATTCAAATTCTTATATAATATATTTTAAAATACTTAAAATATACATTATTTACCAATAAAAACGACAATTTTCATTTTTATTGTATATAATTTTTTTATTATAGTCAGTTGATAGTTTTTTATGAAAATTGAATGGATTGAATGAATTTTAAAAATCTTAGTTACAATTCTGTGAGATTAAAGAGGGCATCAATACTGTAAATTTTCGATTTACAGATTTGTGGAAAAAATGTTCAAATATCCAGTATCATATAATATAATAAAATATTTTTTATTCCTAAGAAATTTAAAATCATATATTTCAGTAATAAATCAACTGAAAAATAAAATTCCCAGCTCGCTTTACATATGATATTTAGCATCAAATACAGTGGTCATGCGTTAATTTAGTGCACATTAAACCATACCTCAGAATTCAGATTGTCCATGAACGACAAACGTTTAAACTGCTTGTTAATTCTGAACATTGAGTCACAGATAACAATATATCATTATAAATTCTGATGAAATAATTGAACCATTTTCTTGACTAAAATGCATTGTACGTTTTAAATGTTAAAACATTATATTTCATCCATTAAATATGTATTTATATTTAACTCAAAATACGCCTACTACTATAACTAACCAATTATAACCAATAACTACAACATTTTTATCAAATAGGATATGACAGCGTACAAACATTAAAACACTATCGTTGCAGTAAAGATATCGACGTATTTCAAATAAACGGCAAGATTTTAATAAGAAAAAAACAGTACAGAATAAAAGAAATACAAATGAAAAATGTACTTACTCATAGCAAAATTCTCAAAACCCTACTGATAATTCCAAAAATAAGACAAATTTTTAAATGATCATAAACCATTAATATACAAATGAGTTTAGTGTGAGAAAAAATATAACAATAAAAAAGTACTTAAATTATAAAAAATGTATTGCAGTTTTCATTAGATACGAAATGAAAATAAACTCTCCTCCTCCTTCACGAAAATATTTAAAATTACAAGTGTATCTACATAAATTTAGCTTATTTTCACACTTTAGCAGCTTTCTAGAACAGAATATTACTTCTATTACATCTACAATTGCTTAAAATGTACTCATTGTAAATTTGAAAATCTATCATTTATTTACTTATGAAATACCTTTATTTACCAGTTGGCAGTTTATTTTCATTATCATACGAATAAGCAGAATCAAGTGATTACAAAATATTCATATCACGTCACTGATAATATATAATATTAATGCATGCAATTCCAACGGTAATTATATATAAATACCTATAAACTATTTTTGTTATGAAAACTAAATATTGAAATATATACATATATATATATAATAGATTTGTATAATATATGATACTCTCATACTTTAAATATAGATAAATAATTATTTAAATATAGTTCAAAAATGCATTTCGTTGCATTAAACAATAGTTTAATAAGTTATATAAAGTACAAATGTAATTTTTAATTATATTAATTATTCACGTATACGAAATGTATTGTTACTAGGTACTAACTATTTTAGTAATATTTCAATATCTTTAAATTTACATTTTTTAGTTAAAATAAAGTCACCATAAATCTGTCATATTGAAAAGAATTATGTTAACTGTTAAGTATAACATTGTTGAATAAAAATATGGCTTCATTATTTACTATACCAATCATTTTTGTTTAAAAATGATGTGCCTAATAAGTATTGCTAATATAGGTATTGTAATACTTACAAATTAGTAATTAATAGGAAGAGAATATCAAAAATAATAATATATTTAAATTAATTAGGTATAAGGAAGTCAGTTTTAAGACTAAAATGTATTGAAAATCCTAAATTAATAATAAATAAACGAGTACTTTCGTATATAAATTATGAGTTAACAAATTAAAACACAAATTTTATAGTTCATGTATGAAATTATCTAAAATTGATTAGTATTTTAAATATGTACATATAATAACGATGGGAAGCTTTTTTTTATTCAAATCAACGATTTCATAGGATCACCCTAGGATCATCAAAATCATTTACATTATACAATTTTAAGCTGTTACGAATGATTGCGCGATATCTGCGTGTATAAATTTTCACATTTATAACTTATTAATTATTATATTTAACTTATTATATTAACCCACCTCCATTTTCTCATGAATTATGTGATTCAAATTAAACCCTTACAATGAAAAAATTACTAATAATTTTAATACTTTAGAAGTATACTCTCAGTCGTCTCAGTCTAACTTAACCTAACCTAACTGAAATAAGAAATGAGATTAAAAAAAATCTAAAACTAACCAAATTAATAAATATTTAAAACTTTATGATTCTATAGAAACTTAAAATTTAATTCGAGTACAACTATCGTAGGGATAATTATTACAACTCAGCTATTTTATAAATTGTTATACGTTATGAAATATTAATTGAAAATATTATCTTCAACTTATAATAGATATAACCTTAGTTTAGTTAATTAATTATTATGAAATAAATAATTAATAAATATGGATTCATATCAGTATAAGGACATTTTCTTAAAATTATAGTTTACAATAAATATTTAATTATTACTTGATAAAAATTTATTACTTTATTTTTTACTATAGATAAAGAAGATTTTTGGTGAATTTTAAATTAAATTCTGAAAAAAGAATCCATCATTTTATTAAAGTTAAAAAAAAATGTTTTATTTAAAAATATGTAAACTTCATGAAAGCTTATTTTCATCAAATATGTTAACGATAAATAAAGTTTATTAAATAAATAATATTGTAATAGTAAGTTTGTAAATCATTTGCAAAAATTTAAAAAATTATTTTACAAGACAAACATTGAATATATTGAGATGTATAACTTAGTTAACTCTAATTTTGTACACAACTTAATCATAAAAATCACGATTAAACCTTTATACAGGGCCGGTGAGAACTTTTGAGAACTCCGGAGCTGATCAGTTCTAGGCCCCCTATACTTGCACTTATATGGTCAAGATATACATATACATACTACTTATATATACTTAAGTATAATAAAAATATTAAGATTCACATCTTATGCTACGACGAATGAGATTATAAAAATTGTTGTATAAAAGGCTGAGAAGACGGGTCCTCTCGAACGTACGGGCCCTAGGGCTTTAACCCTTCTTGTCTCTCCCTCTCAACGGCCCTGTCTTAATTTAAACTATAAAATCAATATTAAAATATGTGTTGCTATAAAAGTGAACAATTTTTGGAACATTAGTGAATTTACAAATTGTTTTACAATTCAATGTCAAAAAATAAAATGTTCTAGCATTTCCAAGAATTGGAAACTGTTGAAACTGCTCAAATATCTCATTAAAAAAAAAAAACCCTCAAATATACCGTGGTTAACATCCCGAGATTCTGTATACTTCAACGATTTACAATGAAAGTATATTTACGTTTCAAACCTAAGTAAATTTAAACAAAATACTCTACACTTTAATATTTATATTTATATTTTTTTAATTGTTATAGTACTACAATTGTGAATAATATTCGTCATTAGAAATAAATGTATAAATAATAGTTTTATGTATGTATGTATAATGTGTTATGTTGGTATACTTGGTGCTAACATATAACATAATTATCGATATGCTATAAAAGAGCAATATATATATACCAAATTAAAAAAAACTATATAGATTATCCCGATTATCATAATTTCTGGTGTAATCGGAAACGTAATAGAAATATATTGTCTTTAATATCAGAAATTTATAATTTAAAAATGTCTATCCTTTACTACATATTATATTATATTGTAATATCAGAACTCAATAAAGTGTACTATTATACAATAATCATAATATCCAATGGACTCTATTAATTATTATTAATGATAAACCTACATAATAAATTTCACTGAGTATAACAATAAATAATATTTTACGTTT